TATCTCAATGAATCCAAATGTAAAGTAGTGTCTAATAATAGGAAAATGTCAGTCATCGAGTACAATTATCGAGTAGATACCATTTCACTTGTCACGAAGATCTTGGTGTATACTTTGTTCAAAATTTGTCTTTTTCCAACCACATTAGATCAAAAGTAAGTGAAGCATTGAGAGTTTATGGCTTCATAGTTCGCAATTGTAGATCTTTTTCAAACATATCTACTCTATTGACTCTTTATGTAGCCTACGTAAGGTCAAAATTAGAATATGGCTCTGTTCTATGGTCTCCATTCTACAATTGCTATAATACATCAATTGAAAAAGTTTAACGTCGTTTCCTGAAGTTTATTTACTTCAAATCTTATGGTATCTATCCTGATAGATGTATTCCATATGAATCTCTTACCATAACATTCAATATTGACAGTCTTGAATTATGCAGAAAACTTGCAGGAATAATTTTTCTGTATAAATTACTGAACAACAATGTGGATGCTATAGAGGTGTTGTATTTTATGAATTTATGTGTGCCTCATTTTAGAACAAGAAGTACAAGAACTTTTTACAGCCGACTGGCCTGAACCAATTTGTATCTCAAGTCACCTATCTTTACCATTTGCAATAATTTCAACTCAATTTCAAATTTGTGTGATATCAATAGCAACACCACCATGTATTGAATTCTTTCTCAGTCTGCCAGTGTTCTGTTAGCAATAGAATGTCACATTTTTGTTTATTAGCAAATATATAGTTTAACATTACAATCTTATTACTAATGCACTGAATGTTTTGGTGACAAAATGAGAGAAAGTTCGGAGCATTACTCTCGGACAAAGTAAATTCATTTTTCTCAACATTATTAATTTTTGTACCCAGGGTTGGGGACTTAACATTCAGGTAATTACTATAAACGGAAGTTACAGGAGATTTATTACTACTTATACTACGGTTATGGCTATCATTTATGTGATTTCTATTGAGTCCGTGAAGTTGACTAAAAAATTATTTTTACTTTCAAAAAGTCTTACACTTTTCAGGACTATTTGAATATTTCATACGCTCTTTTCAAAACATTGGTTAAAACATTGGAATAACTGGAAATGAATCGGCCGATAAAAATTCTCGAGATGCAATCATTAACCCGAACCAGGCTGCGCTGCAATACACTCCTTCGATAGACATAAAATCCTACATCAAAAACAAGATGAAGAACGTTTGGAATACTAATTGGCAGGCCTCACAATCGAAACTACAAGAAGTCAAACCAAACCTAGGACCGTGGCAAAATCATTTAATGAAAAGAAGAGAACAAGTGACAATGACCAGACTCCGCCTAGAACTCCGCCAAGCTCACACACGAATACCTGCTGTCTGGACAAAATAAACCAACTTGTGATATTTGTGTAGTTCAACTAACTGTGAAACATATTATAGTGCAATGTCCTGTATTCCAAACTGAGACACATTTAAGATATCCCCTAACTTGAAAGAAATGTTAGACTATAATAATAGTAACAAAATCATTCCATTTTTACATACTTTAGATTTACTTAGGAAGTTATAAATGTTATTTATCAACTCCACCGCTAATGACCCAAAGGGTTGATGCGGTTTATTGAAGTAAAAAAAAAAACATTGGTTATTTTATCATATACAAAATGTATTCTGCGTTCAACCATCAATAATTCATATCACTGAACAACTGTAAATATTCGCCCGATCTGTCTGTTTTTCTGTTAACCAGCTGTCGCACCCCTACGAACACCCAAAATTCCCGAAAAATTGCATTGCATGAGGCAACCAATATGCCAACATCCTCAGGAACTTTTCTAATCTTATTTCGATGATTCTCCATAACAATTTTCTTTACCTCTCATTATTTTTCTGGCTTAGAGTACAATCATTATATGCCACTGTCAACATTTCAAAGGTTTTTTGAACACAATAAACTAAACATGCTAAACAGCTGAAACGGTTCGAGATGAGTGTACGAAAATAAAAAAAAAGCTAATCGAATGTACGTAGCGCGCGAAATTTGAACATCCACCTCATTTTTTGCACAGCTCACATACATGTTAGTGTTATAAAAGAATTTGTGAAATTCAAAAACAAAAAATTTATTTCTTAAAACTGGTTACTAGATATATATCATTCATCCAAGATGTCTGCAGAATCTTAATGAAACCGGAGCGTACTTTCATGGGACATGAATGCAATTTAAACACTATTCAATTGAACATTTTGAAAAAATTCGCAGTTAAGTTATTACCTACGTATATTCATTTTTGTACTGCTTTTATTTTTTTCTTCAAAGTATGTAACTTTTTATAAACTGAATTTGAAATTTATCTCTAGGACTTTCTCAATAATACTTATCAAAGTATGAATATATAAATTACATTTCTAAAAATATAAAAAAATAATACTGACGAGAATACAAATTACAATATTCAACAAATGAACCATCAAACCCAAAATACTGGAATCGAAGTAAAAGTTAATGTTGCACTATTGTGGTAGAACATTCTTCAGTTATATACTAGACCACAAAATTAACCGAATACTCTATGTTTTCCCTACAAATTTCGTACTATGCTCCAATTAACTTCTGCTATTTTTTTTCAATGAATATGAAATAAAGTTTTAAATTTTTCTTCATTTGTTATATGTTTTTTACCACTTATTGTATGAGTATATATAATTATATATTACACAAGGTTATGTGAGAATGGGGAATGTTCCTCCTGACGAAAATCAAGTAATTTTCATAAAAGAGCTCTAAAACAACGCATTTTAAACTCATCATTTCAACCTTTTTCTTTAAAAAAATATTTAAATATTTAAAAAAGAGGAATGAAATGATGCATTCAACATTTAAAGGGATTCGTTTCTATTTCACCATTTGGCAACATCGGTTATAGCTAATGAAGGAAAATGAATCTGTTACCTGTATGAGACAAACAAAGATGACATATTTCAGAGGCGTGCTGNAATTAAAATGCCTGGAAATAAAAACCACTACGCAGTTTTCAAGACTAGGACTGAAGTGCCTATACTCAGTGATAATAAATGACAATTTCAGTGGCATGTTCATCGTGTTTCCAAAATGATAGTCCCAATCAATACCCGTAAAAAAATAATTTAACCCAGTATAGCTCTTTTGAAAGGAGAGTGAATAAATTGAATTTAAAATTTTTCACAATTATTTTCAAAGGGAACATTGATTGTTAATGCTGAATGATGATAATTGCAGGTCAATAATCATTTATATTTCAAGCCCACAGTTGGTTACATTTGCAAAAATGTGATCTAATGTAACACCATAACAGTTTATTTTTATTTATTAATTTTTTTTCCAGCAATTAACTTGTGAAAAAATACAGGAAAATTGTGAAAAATGTCAAAAGGTAATATAACAACATAATACAATACAGATTGAAAAAATTGTTATAGATATTCNGAAGTCTTAATCTCCATCATGAAATTTGAAATTCTCATAACTTTCAAGGTAACAAATTAAACAATAAGACAAAGACAAACACATTGAACTTTTTAAAGTTAGAATTGAAATAGCACTGAGACAAAGACTAGGATGTATACATTGGCTCTGAACAAAAAGATAAAGCTGTTATGGAGTAGAGACATTTTTTACAGATTTACAGGTACTATGAAGTCAGTATTTCTACTATCACACAGTAACATATACTGCCTTAACAAATCTATTGGGGCTCTGTCATTCATTTTGATAAAAAATTGTAAACAATGTGTTTTAGGTCATGTTCACTCTCCATTACTAATATTTGATAGATTGAAGTGCTCAATATTCCTGATATCCGAGAGAAATATATGATCAAACGCAGTTCCAAAATGCTTAAGAATAGTAAGTAAAAGTTGAAAGTTGACAAACTTTATGAGGTGATGAGTTGAGTTGAGCAAATAGATCATTCAATAGTTAGTAGATAAGTTAATTATGACTTTATTAACTGATTCATATCATCTCATCTTTATAATACTCAAATGAAATAACAGAAAACAAAATAGTGATGTGTCGACTTTCCCATTCTATAAAATTAAAATGAACTAAATTGGCAAAAATGGTACTTATCAAGGTTTTTGTCCCTGTCGTCATTTAGTGAATCCAAAGATAAAAAACCAGCATTAATCTCACTTAATCTTCAATAGTAAGAATTCCAAATTCTTTAATTTCAGGTCCATATATTTTGTATCCAGAAAATGAAAAGTAAGGGTTGTTCAAATTGTATCTTTTCTAATCAATTCTTTAAAATTCTAAAATGTTTATTTGATTGAAATGATATTTCACTTTCTCGGCACAAAATATTGTAGTAATGAGAAATGTAGGGCATGCAGAGTTTATTTCATATTTCATCCTTTCCTCTCATATTATTTTGAAGTGAACACCACTGAAATGAAGAATATTTTGAACTATATTAACACATCTCCAGAACTTGCGACTTTTCAATATTTTCAAAATGATTTCTATGGTGAATGATAGGCTTCGAGAGCTGGTGAAAGTTACAGAAAATTAATATATTTTAGGAAGTGATGAGTAATGTTCTACTGGTTTAGTTTTTGCTGTGGAACACATAAAAAGAGTTGTTTTTAATCTACACATTCTTGCCAATGTCCAATTAATCATTGAAATGGAAAGAAATAGTAATTATCATTCAAATTGCATATATAGATTGAAGATTTCAGCCAGATAAGTAAAAGTTAAAAATACTTTTGTTTTGACAGCTGGTATTCTAACCTAGGTATTAGAGTTATTCTCAACTTATTGTAGGAATAAAAAAATTGTCCACAGCAGTTTATGAGGAAACACTTTTAGGAAGACATAACATTATGTAAAAAACTTGAAATTAAAACATTTGTTTAGAGAAAACCAGCCATTTTGTCCACATATGGGACAATCGAACTTAGAATGTGAAGTAATTTTCGTATAAAAGGTTATAAACGCTCACAGTCCTAACACGAAAACGTACTTTCCATAAAATCCTTCTGTAATTTTGTTCTTTTTCATAGGCCTTCTCATTTTAGCAATCTCAGCATTTCGTCTCTTCATAATTTCCTTTGCAACCCAATCCACTGAAATTATTATATTTTACTCACTCCACACTAGGATTTACGAAAATACGTATTTCTCTCATGGATTTTTGGTCACAAAAAATCACTTCTGCGGCAAATATATTTGTTGTCAACTCAGTTGGTTTCAATCCCACATATCGCGAGGGCGCCACTCGCGTCACATCGAAAATTCAAAAAGTGGCACTAGAGCAATGTTGCCAGAAGGAAAAATTAAATGTACAGGGTGTAACATAAGTACGTTTAAATATTCAAGTGACGTATTTCTGAGACAATTTAAAACAATAATCTATATGAACTTGTGTCCAAAAATGCTTCGTTTCGAAGATACAGGGTGTTGAAATTGAAATTTTTTGTTCGCTTTTTGAAAATAACTCTTGCAAAAAATAAGTTATTTGCACGAAATTCGGTACCCGCGGGGTTTTATGACGTTTGAAATCATAATTTAGTAGTAATTTTCATGTAACATCTACACACCTTTCCCAAGTAAAAAAGGTACACCACCTCAACAACGCTGGAGGTGATCGTTTTCAAGATATTTACAATTTTCTATATCGATGCATATTACTTAGCTCCCAGGGCACTAAGTGAAGTTGCTGAGAACATTACAAAAACTAAGTATGTGGTGGATCTCGTCAAAATAAACAATATTTTTCTATAAAATGTTCAACGAAAATACCTAAAATTCCAAAAAACTTATGACAAAAACCTACCATGTTTTGAAAAATTTCAACAATCTGTATTTCGAAAACGAATCATTTTTCGATTTTTTCAGGTTAGTTAACTGTGGTCTGCAGGTTTTCATACCTGATGTTTCGTTTGATACTGCTACAGTATCAAAGGCGAAGCGGCAACCGTCGTTATCTAACTTGCTGAGATGCGAAAACTTAAAAAAAGTTGCTGCTATGGAGGCAATTTGAAATAAATAATGACAGCGTACGCAGTGTCCTCTAGATGTTACGCGAAAATTAATACGAAATTATGATTTCCCACGTCAAAAAAAACCCCGAGTACCAAATTTCGTGCAAATAACTTATTATTTACAAGAATTATTTTCAAAAAGCGATCAAAATATTCAATTTCAACACCCTGTATCTCCGAAACGAAGCATTTTCGGACACAAGTTTATACATACATTTTATCTTAAAATTGTCTCAGGAATACGTCACTTGAATATTTTTAACGTATTTATGTTACACCCTGTATAATGGGGTATTTTGCATGGCTCGATATTTTAGCCCAAATGACAATAAAACCATTTTACCTTCTATATATTAATACAAATATACATGTTTACTTGCTTCTCCAAACAATTTACATACTGCAAAATTCTCACTTAAACTTAAACGAACACACCTATGCACGGTGTGTTCGTTTCAAGATCTAGAGGGATTCAATCGAGATCATATATAGTTTCAGAATTTGAAGAAAATACTGTAAATTCATAGTATAAGACCTGAACTCTGTTATCTCCATAAAGAAGTTCTCAGACAAATAGGATATGGAAAAATCTTTTAATTACAATTATTTCAATTTCATCCACAAATATTTTTGTTCAGTTTTGCTATCGGATACCTACAAGTGTGTGCATTTCTTCTTAGTGTGGTCACAAGTATAATGCTAAAATAACCTTAGCATTATACTTGTGGTGTGGTGCTAAAATAACCTTAGCATTATACTTGTGGTGTGGTGCTAAAATAACCTTAGCATTATACTTGTGGTGTGGTTGATTTCTTTTCAATAAAAATGGTTTTATTTACTATATTTTGAATGAGGTAATGATGATATATCTGTTATTTTGTTATTTTCTATATTGGAAATGTATCTTCAATAGAATCTTCCACAAGGTGCTTACTAACTTTGGCAATTGATAACAGTCATATTGTTGAAGCTACATCTGTCAAATTAGTTGTCATTTATTCAGTCTGCTTTGCCTAATCACCATGGACGGATATAGCATTCATCAACACGTGCAAATAATATTTTTTTTTATCAAAAAAGATGTTCTGTTCGGACAACGTAAAGCGTGCTTCGCCCTTTTCACGGTCACTATAATCGTCCTACCGAGAGGACTATTCACAATGTGGTTGATAAATTTAAATTTACTGGTGCAGTAAACGATCGACCCACACCCGAACGTCGACGAAGCTCAAGATCTGCCGAAAACATTGCCGCTGTCTGTGAGAGTGTGAAGGAGAACCCGAGGTAGTCAATTTCGCGTCGTTCATAAGAACTCCGCCTATCGCAGACCACAACTTGATGAATTTTGCGTCGTTACTTAGGCCTGTACCGGTACAAAATTCAACTGACCCAGGAACTGAAGGTATACGATCATAGACAACATAATGGCAACAAATTCATCATCAAACATTGTCAATCACCTTCAAACAAACATATTCGTAGTTTCAATATGAGCAGGTAGGGCATTATATAATGTAAAATACAATAAGTTTTGTTGGGCTCTCTATAAAGTGGATGTTAGAGTTTCAATAAAATTTCTATTTTTTGTAGTGTGTAGAGGAGCTTTATTATGAATTTCAAGGAGACTAACATATACGTAAAGGAAAGGAAATTTTATAGTGCATTGATTTATCACGACAAAGTATATATCCGACACTATCAAAAATTCCTATTCCCTTTTTTTGTGTGAAATGAATAGGGTTTCAGCTGAATTTCCCCAGAGAAGAATACCAGTTTGAACATGAGACTAAATGAGTGAACAAAAAACCAACTTCAGTATAGAAGAGCTAGTGATAGGTTAGATCTGTCAGAGTAGAAATAATGCACCCGAAATTTTAGTTATCACATAGGTAATGTGGCTTCACTATTTCAATCTATTATCTAAGGTGAATATCCTAATAGAGTGTAAGCTTTCGCAGCCAGTGTCTAACAAATTGTTCGATTTTTTCAGGTTAGTTAGCTGTGGTCTGCAGGTTTTCATACCTGATGGTTCGTTTGATACTGCTACAGTATCAAAGGCGAAGCGGCAACCGTCGTTATCTAACTTGCTGAGATGCGAAAACTTAAAAAAAGTTGCTGCTATGGCCAAACAGATAAATCGGCAGTTGCAGAATACACTCTCTCGAAGGCAGCCATGACATTGCCTTCAAAAGCACGCAAGTTCTTGATGAAATCAAAGATTACTATCCGATGCTATTCAGAGATGCCACAGAAATACATAAACGTAAGAATAATTCAACCGTAAGGAAAATAACTAAAACATCAACACGACATAGATACCAGCACTTTATAACACAAAGATTCTTCCAATAATTGGAGAAGGGTCAGACCAATCAGGTTTAAGAGCAATCGGCCCTCCGATACCTAGTCCCATTTTAAGTTCGAACGCAACAGGACCATTTTTAGTTTTTTAGTTTGCACATCTCGATCATTGCCGCATCGCTTTTGATAATGTCTGCCGCAGTAGCTGACGAAACGTTAGGTATAAAAATCTGCAGACTATGGCTAATAAACCCAATAACATCGAACAAATGATATCTTTTTTTTTGAACCTTGGGAGCTGTCTGACTTGTCCATTTAGTCCAAGTCTCCAGAAAACACTGCAGCTTCTTGGGCTTATTGCGTTCATTCTCCCATCTTCTCATGACACCCGTTCCATCAGTCCCGTTTCCCTTACTAGTTTAAACAGGTTTCGTGGTGGATGTTCATCATATTCTTCTGGACATAATTTCGTACGTCTATATATTGCCTGCCTCCTGTGATTCAGTGCCTCACATTCGCATAAGATGTATAGAGCTGTTTCTATCCCTTCGTTGCAAAATCTACAACTGAGGTCTCCGTTGTACAGCCCCATTTTATTCATGTGTCCTCTAAGCGGACAATGACCGGTTAGTAACCCTGTAATAATTCTGAGCCGATCCCTACTATATTGAAGTAGTTCTTCGGTTCTTTTCTCGGACGGTTCCCTAATGAAGGTTCTACTGTGTTTGTTGCCAGGTACTTTTTTGCAGTACTCTGTGTGCTTCTTATTGGTCAATGTCCTAATCTGGTTTCGTACCAATGATTTTGGTACCCCCAGAGCTGGTTCAGGACCTATATATGCAGTTGATGATCCACGTGTAGCGCATTCATCAGCTTTGTCATTACCTGTAATTCCTGAATGCCCTGGCACCCAGTACAAAGTTGATTTGTTCTTGTTTACAAGTTCACTCAGTTCTTCATGGTATTCCCAGACCAGTTTTGATGTCACCTTCGGGTTTGTCAGAGCCCCTAGTACGCTCTTGCTGTGTGTAAAAATATTGATCCGCTCATTTCTTTGAGGTCTCAATTTAATAAGCCGTGCACACTGCAAGATAGCATACACTTCCGCCTGAAAGACGGATGTGTATATTCCTAGCGGATAGTTGTAGTTTAAATTTCCATCCGCTCGGTATATTCCAGCTCCCGTTCCATGTTTGGTCTTCGATCCATCTGTATAGCAGGTGTTTTTCCAAACATGTTTTCGGGATGACTAAAGGTCTTCCACTCTTCGCACGGATTATGATTTTCGCTGTGAAGTTTGTGTTAAAGTTGTACTTCGGTGTCATATGGTCCGTGCACATATTCAATATGTGCTTCTCCACTTGTTCCGAAATTTCCGTTACTCCGATATTTTGTAGTTCGGTGAGTTTTCGAGTCTGAATTGGCCCATCCTGGCCTGCACCATTACCATAAATTGTAAAGGAGGTAGATTCAGGAGTGTCTCCAATGCAGCTGTTGGGGTAGTTCTCATTGCTCCCGTCATTCCCAAACATGCAAGTCTTTGCACCTTGCCTAATTTGTTGATGGCGGTCGCCTGCTTCATCTTTGGCTACCAGACCAGAGATGTGTATGTTATCATGGGTTTAACCACCATCGTGTATAGCCAATATACGTCTGGTTTTAGTCCCCATGTTTTTCCATAGGTGCATCTGGCGAGCGTCAGTGCTACCTCCGCTTCCCTCTTTATCCTGTCCAAGTGTTGGTTCCAGGTGAGTTTGGAATCCAGGATTACTCCCAGATATTTAACCTCCCCCGACACTTGTATTTCTTCACCTCGAAGTTTTAGAGATACGAGACCCTCCGTTTTAGTCCTCTTGGTGAATGCTACTATGGTCGATTTGGATGGGCTTATGTTAAGCTCTTCTTCTTCAGTCCATCTTGTTATAATGTTCAGGGCCTGCTGCATGCATCCCTTAACTACATTATTGTATTTACCCTGGACTAAGATGACTAAGTCGTCTGCATATCCCAGTGCTTTATACCCATTTGGTCCAAGAGACATAGTAGCTCGTTCATTACAAGGTTCCATAACAGAGGGGATAGAACTCCCCCCTGAAGACAGCCTCTTGCTATCCGTGCCACGACTGTTTCCCCCATAATGGTTGTATATACCAATCTTCCCCTAAGCATGCAGTCTATCCACCTACAGCTTATCTTGTCGATCCGTCTTCTCCTCGACGCCTGGATGATTGATTCTAACGACGTATTATCAAATGCGCCCTCAATGTCCAAGAAAGCAGCTAAAAGTACTTCCTTGTTTTTGTAAGTATATTCTACTTTTTCTGTTACCCGACATAGAGAGCCATTTCTGTTGACATACCTGATCTGTATGCACATTGGTCTGGATGTAATGGTCTGATAACCAGTGATACGTCCCTGATATGCCTGTCAAGTAGCTTTTCTAGCGTTTTCAACGCAAATGACATGAGACTAATTGGTCTCAAAGCCTTCGCCGAGTCGTGTGCGATTTTCCCAGGTTTCGGAATGAAGGTGGCCCTGATCAGTCTCCAAGTTTTTGGTATGTGTCCCAGTGCTAAGCTTGCCTTGAGAATTATACACAATTTTTTGAAAAGTGAGTCCGGTCTCTTTTGAAGCATTACTGGGTATTTACCATCAGGTGCCGGCGACTTAAAGGGTTGAAATGAGTTTACAGTCCATTTAATTTTCTCCATATGTATCATATGATGAAACGTTAGGTATAAAAATCTGCAGACCATGGCTAATAAACCCAAAAACATCGGACAATTGATATCTTAATAATTTCACACTCTGAATTTCGTGTGTTCCAGCAAATGTAGAAGAACATGTTTGGGGATTTTTTATTTTTCATTTGAAGTGTATTTGCTGATAATTGACAGATATTATGTGATGTGGTTTCATAAAGTTATAGAGAACATTGGTTTATATGAGAAATAAGAGGGTACCTAGGACAGAGCCCTGAGGAACACCATGATTCATTAATGTCAACTTCGAATATTCCTTGTTATAAAAACTCTCTGAGAGCAATTTTGTAGGCATGGCTCAAGCAATTTTTGAACCAAAATTCTTTATGAAAGATATTGGTCAATGATTTCCGACCGAAAACTCGTCTTTTTTTTGGTGAAGGTTAGTAATTTTGATAAATTTAAAAATGTCAGAAAGGTACAAAAGAAAACTGTTCATGAATGTAGTACTAATGATGTTAAGTCGGATGATGATAGTGATATTGATACTTACTAAGAAAACCTTGAGTTAATCTTGGACTATTGATATTGTAATTAATAATAAAATTCTAATTTTCGGATTAGATACAGAATATATTCTGAGCATTCTTCTATTATGGTAATAATAAAATGGATACAGCTGGTACTGTCACTCTTGAGTGTTATGTAAAAGGGGTAAAGTGTAAGATCAGATTCCTGCTTGTTGATGTAGATAGTACACCAATCCTTGGATTGAAGGTTTGCATGAAACTCAACCTATTGAAATGAGTTGATTATGTGAGTTGTGGCTTTACTAATAAAAGTAACTTCAATAATATGAATAAAGGTGTATTTTCTGGTACAGGTAAGGTCCCTTTCAAATATAAACTAGTTTTGAAGAGAAATTCAGTACCTTTTGTCAGTCCTTGATGTAGAATCCTTGATTCTGTTAAACCTGCATAAAAAATACTCTTGATGACTTAAACTGACCACAAGCCGTTAGTGGCTATTTGTAACAAAGATTTTTACAAGGTGAGCAATAGATTATAAAAATTGAAGCTCAAGCTGCTGAAATATGATTTCACTATAGAGTACTATCAGGAAAGTTTATGTATATTGCGGACCTTTTATCAAAATCATCATCAAAACTAAAGAAAAAGATGAATCAAATATTAAATTTGTTCATTGTCTAGATTTAGATATTCCTATTTCTACTAGTTGCCTAGAAAATTTGAAAAAAGAAAGTGAAAGTAATTCGATATTGTCCACAGTCAGAAATTATTGTAATTTGGGTTGGCCAGAAAACCTCAAAAATTTAGAATATAATCAAGAACTTTCAGCCTTTTTCAAAATTAGAAATGACCTAGTTGTGTTTTTTTTTTGACGTTTACAATGACAAAATCATAGTTCCTAAAACTCTTAGAAATGTAATGCTTGCAAAATTACGTAACAGCACATCTTGGGAAAGAAAATGCAAGGCACGTGCCCGAAAAAATATTTTATTGGCCATCACTGACTTTCATATTTTTTCCAAGTATAACCTTGTTGGTCGGGTCCAGTATGTACGCTACTGGACAGGTATATTAGAGTAGAGGTTCTGTGTTACCCTACCTGTTGGAAATGTATTTTTTTTGTTTTTTTAGTTGACGTAAGTTACTTTGAGATACTTATGTGACGTGATAATAATGACCTCCTTGATTGCGGTAGTCTCTGTGAATCATCTCGTTTGTTGAGACACTCGGGACGTTTTTCAATTTCAATGGCTTCACGAATTATCATGGCCTAAAGAGTTTTCTCCGTAGCAACACTTTTTTTTTAATGAAAATTGGTTTATAACAAAAATTCATAATCATACTTTTGCTTCTCATATCGGACACAAGAGTACAAGTTCATTTCCTCTTCAGATATGTTTCATCGTGAGTAATTTTTGAATATATTTTTCTTTTGCTTCATATAAAATGTTGGAACATCATCATTTAAATTAAAATAAACTTAACTGGTTTTGATCCTCACACCACTTAAAATATTAGGTTTTGTATTAATGGAGGCATTTTCAAACTTCGTTATGATAGTTGGGTATTCGGAGTCAAAGCTGTAGATAAGTCATCTTTGGCAACACTGTATTCCGTCTGTTCATACTGTTCTTACTTGGTAGGAAAGTTGAAAGTTCGGAACTTTTAATGTCTATTTTGTCTTGTTCAATGTTTTTTTCATATATCAATTAGAAAATGGTTACAATAAGAGATTCTTTACTAGATCTTAATTTAAACGACAATGAAAAATTAGGTTATGTGTATTTAAATGTGTTCAAGGTGAAATGAAAATCTAACCTAGAATTTATCTCATATTAATTTATTTTGTTTATTAGAATCCCCATAAATTACCTATCAATGAGATTCACTTGGAAAGAACTTGGTTTGATTTGAAAAAAAATTGTCCAAATAATAATGTAAGTATGCTATCGTATATATTCATTTCTGGTATTGTAGTTGGGGGGTTCCCAGTTTCATAGAAACATTTGCTGAAATATTTAAAATGATCTTGTTTAGAAATACTTCTTATTTTGTTCCAAATACCAAATGATCAATTTTGTTTTTAGGAATTTTTGGAAGCACGTCCTGAAGAAATCAGAAGAAAGCTTCTGGAAAAGAAAACTGAAATAATTCCAGCTTTGGTAATATCCCAAAATAATGAGGAGTTTACGAAAAATAATTATACATTTTCATTTTAGGATAAAAGGTGGCTTCCAAAATGCATCTTATACAAATTTGAGCCATATGTATTCAATTTATCAGAGGATGAAAACGTGGCATTTATCACTAAAAATCTACTCTTCATTGAAAGCTTGGAATTTCTGCTGGAATGTGATTTTCATCAGTTTTGGTGTACCATTTTATTTGAAACATCTGCTGCTGTTTCGTTAAGGAGTTTCATTTTGAATCCAATACCATATTATCAATCTCGATATTTAAAAGGCGAATATGCTGAAATCTATAAAACAGTTTTCAATAGATTTCTTCGTGTATATAAAAGACTACTAAATAATGACAGCGTACGCAGTNTTGACAGACATTTCATCAATACCTGATGTTCTTTTATTTCTAATTTCTCGAATAACCTCTTTTAATTCATCTAGGTCAATGGGGATTAAATCAAATGTTTGACCTATTTGAACACTATTCAAATATTTAATTGTGTCGTTGCTCGAGACTGTATTAACTGCATATTTTGCGGTTACTGAACAATAGTTGTTTAATGTTGTGGGACTTACTGCTGCGTTAGTTGTTTTTTCTTCAGATTGCTTTCCTCTTAATTCATTAACTATATTCCACCCTTTCTTTTTATTATCAGCATTATCAAATCTATTTTGATATTTTTTTTTCACAGCACTTATCACATTTCTATATGTTTTCCTGTATTTATTGAAATATTTAAGGAAACTTTAATTTTTTGCATATTTTCGGATATAATGCAGGGATCGCATATTTATTGATGAAACGTTTAATCCGTTAGTCAACCAAAGTTTGGATTGGGAAAGATTTTTCAAAGAGATGCTTTACCGTTTTATAAAAATGCTCAAAATTGACTACATTATTCCAGTCGCTTTCGAGCGATTATTGATAAAACCTATTATAGTTAGCCGTGCTGTATATACGACCATATCTGTGTTTTTTTGTATTTGCAACAACTTTGAAATTGAATCTTGTGAAGATTGGTAAGTGAAACGTGCATCGAGAGATAATTAAATGTATTTCTGGTGTTATGTCTAAAAAGTTTTGTCCGTTTTTATGAGTCTACTTTAAACTGTAATATCTCAGTAAATACTTATTCAATTTAAGCGAAATAAGTGTCATTTCAAGCAATGCACTTTTGGCAACGTAACACAAGTCGTATAATTCCATCAACATAAAATATGTGTACTCGGGATTCGATGAATTCGACGAAGGCCGTTTTTTTCGGGTCCTGAACAGCGAAGATTTTACACGTTAGAAAATTATCGAAGTGCTTGAACAGATGTTATTCGGTAGGTGAAAGTTATAGTCACTATGTAGTTACTAGTTACATACAGTTATTGAGGAACTTTTTTTTTGGGGGGTTTTCGCCTTTTGGAAGTGCCTGGGTGGCTCATAGGTGTCCTTATTGTCTCCTGTTGTAGATGATCTACTTTTCATCACACTTGACGATCCGATAAAAAAAAATCGTTTAGGTTGCGCGAAAGCAAAGAAGAACAGACCTCGAAATGTGAAAATTTCTTTTGATCCTTCAAATTGTGGGGCACCCACTTCGCGAGCTCGATGACCTTTCCAATACGTTTCAAACCATTAGAAAACCATATGGGAGCTGATGCCGAGTTCTTCCAACATCCCACACACCGTTTGTGATCGGTCAGTCTCAACCGAGTCCTTGAATCCTAGTTCTGAATTACTGTAGGTCGACCACTTCGAGGCTCATCTTCAAGGCTGAAATCTTCAGAACGAAATTTCGCAAACCAACACTATCTTTTTTTCTGATTGTCTGGTTAATTTTTGGATCTGTTTCGACGGCGCTTTGGTTCAATTTGAATTCGTAGAGAAAAATTGGCCAAAAATCGCTCAATTACATCATATAGTAAAAAGGTGAAAAGTGGCAAAAAATAAAAGTTCGGAAAAAAATGAGCAGCACCAATGTACAGAGCACCAAGTTCTCTATCGATCAGTATACACCACGACACAGTACGATAAATATTTATTGAGATATAGAGTTACAAAAACACATGGACAAAACTTTTGAAACAACCTAATAGTTTGCTTTATGAGGGGACTATTTTGAATAACTTTTTTCAGGTGGAATATATGCCAGAGAACTATTGCTATGAAAATCTAGTACAGAAAAAGCTTTTAAATTTACCCGTTGTTAACGTGCTTGCTTTCTTGTATAAGTTCAGTGATATAGATTTTGTTAATACTTTAACTACAATATACTTCTCAAATACTTCGCAATTAGATTTTCAAATAAGAGAAGTGGAGGAGCTCATAAACCACAGTCTGATGGTAAGTTTATATAAGCTCTATATAATGAAATACTTTTTGATTTGAATTTTAATTGAGTGACGACTGGAGAGAGATTCTGTTTGGCCGAAATGTTTGTTGAATATCATTCTTAAGATTTGTGATATTACAAATGAAATAATTTTTAGGTTTTGGAAATGATAGGTGGACATGTTTGTGGATTTGCCAAAGATGCAGTGATTGTACCTATTTCAATAAAGCCAAGACCTGCACTTTTTGATTTGTCTTGGATTTATTCTGTGGTGAATTATCTTTTGAATACATTAGCGCTGCTGAATACACTTTTTGAATTCTACAAACCTTCCATTGAAATGAGTCTGAATAAAGAACTTCCTTTTAGGTAGGTACAAATTCTCTTAGAACTTCAAGTATCGTCTAACAGTAATTTTTTTTCAGGATGCCTTTTATTTACATTAGTGTTTATAAAGAATTATACGAACTCTTAGATAATAGAGAGGAGTTGATGTCCCAGAAAGAACTCAGTGATAAAGTTTTTGACGAGATAAATTTGGGACGTTCCGAATTTGTTGATGTTTACCATATGTTCATTTCATATTGTTTAGATAAAACACTTGAATGCATGTAAGTGGATTTTGTTGAAACAATCACAATTATTGGCAAAAAAGGTTTTGGATTTCTACTTCTCATCTGTTGAAAAAAATGTGTGAATCTTCCAAAGAAAGGAAGAAAGCAATCAATATCAAAATGAACTCTACAAAGACGCTTGGATCATGCAAAGAAGTATCTTTCGGACACCAACTGGAAGAAAAAGCCCCCTTGAAACAAACACTTTCATATAAACATTGAATTACAAGAAAGATAAAATACTTTCCAAATAACTACTTTTATATGAATATTGAATTATACAAAAACACGCATTTCTATTTAGTTTGTACTCCAAACATTCGTTATGTAATTGATTCAGATACTATTCACAGGATTACTACACAATATCATATATGAAAGAGGCAATAATCCACCTGACCACAGGCCACTTTTTAATGTAGATAACGTTATACCAGTAACCTCCAATTTTATATTGTTAATCCCTTTGAGCATGCAATCAATAGGATAATGTATGCCATAGTGAAAGAGATCAGTATTCCTGAGAGCTCTAGTAGGCACATGTAGATGGATTTTATCGAGGAGTTCAGTGCATATAACTAGACCAATATAATTAACCTGTATATAAATACTATATCAGAATTTTCTCTACTCTTACTCAGTGAACTGAGGTTGAGAGCATTTGCAACAAATTTATGTTTATGGCTCTCTAAATGGATGTTCATTTTATATGCACAAAATCTTAGAGGAATTTATTCTGAACCCTTTCTAATGTAGTGACCATATAATTGATCCATATGCACAGTAAATTGTTATGAATCTTTGGGTATAAAAAGGTTTTGGCTTTCTACTCCATCTGTATACAAAACAAAGTGGGAATCTTCTAAATTGAGAAGTAGAAAGCCAAAACCTTTCTTTCCCATCAAATTACTCTCCTAAAAATATACCTCTTTCAATTTAAACAANACCTTTCTTTCCCATCAAATTACTCTCCTAAAAATATACCTCTTTCAATTTAAACAAGATTCTTATGGCTGGGATTGAATCCAATGAGTGAACAAATGTCATTACGTACTGTCATTTGTAACATAAGGTCGTAATTTTACGAATGGATTGAGTGCTTTATCTGGTAATGTTATCCAAATTGGTGCTAAAGAGGCAATAAAACTAGCGTCTTATTCCGAAACATCGATGTCCATCATTGAAGATGACAGTGTTTCATGTAGGTAAGTGAAATTTAACTCTTTCATATACATTCTGTAGCAATCCTGTGAGTGATATCTGAATTGATTCCATAACGAATGTTTTGAGTACAAGCTGAATAGGAAAACGTGTTTTTGTATAATCATACTTTAAATATAGTTGTCCTCCTAGGTCATCGTCCATCCTGTCGTTTCCAGGACACTGGGCAGGTCACTTGGAGATTCTTCTTATTTCAAAAGTATTTTTCTTTTCTGTAAGTTTATATGAAAATAGTTGTTTCAGGAGGGCTCTTCCTTCCAGTTTGTGTCTGAAAGTTACTTCTTTGCATGATCTACCCAATTCTGTAAAGAGTTTATTTCAAAATCAATCGGTTTCTTCATTCCTTTGGAAGATTCCCACATTTATATAAATATACTCCGTCCAATTGAAATAATGATTATTATTTGGTTCTTTTCATTTTCTTTCAGAGGGGATCCAAAACAACAGGAACATCTAGTGGAAACCTATCTGAGGTTGTTAACCACAGCATTGGAAGATGATTATTTTATCTGTGATTATAATATGAAATATAATGTTGCTAGCCAAAACGAAATGTTTGAGAGTTGTACAACACTGTATCCTTTTTCATAAACATTACTATTACAGCAGTTCATCAAATGGAAATAGGTAATAATTATTTCACTTTTTATATCAATATATTTAATTGCCTTGATTGGCAAAAGAATCGTCTCTTTGATTACATTTTTTCTTAACAATTTTCCAGAGATACAACTAGGACTGAATTTATAGTTTCTTGTATAAACAAATTTTCTAGACAAAACTGAAAAAGTCTACAGTAGAAAGTATTTTCAAAGATTTCAAACCTCCTGAATTGGAACCTGAAGAAGAACCAGTCATACCAGTACCATCACACGATACTGGTAGTTCTAAAGAAAAAGAAATAGATATAATGATACAAGATATTATGGACATGTTTCCACATCTGGGGGATGGTAAGAATATAAGCGGAATAAATCTTATTTTGAATTGAAAAAAAGATGTTTTTAAAAGAGAGTGTTTTGAGAAAAAAGCTTTTTATTTTTCTACTTTTCCATCATTTATACAAAAAATGTGGGAAACCGCTAAAGAAAGGAATAAAGAAAATGACCAAAATAATACGACAAAATAATTTCGTAAATATGATAATTGAATAACAGAAAAATTACCTTTTCTCATTTAGTTTGTACTTCAAACATTCGTATTGGATTTGAAACAGATATCATTTACAAGAACGCACCCATGTGAAAAAAATATTGCTATGGAATTTTACGTACATAAGATTTCATGAAATTAAACACCACAAAGCCTCAGCAATGTCTAACCAAATTGGATATGATGGTGCTAACACAATGAAAGGCACTTACGGTGGAGTTCAAAAACTCATAAAAGATATCGAACCTAATGTTCATTGTGCTGCTCATAACTTAAATCAAGTACTTAATGGTGCAATAAGAGAGGTTATTGATATGTTCCTTTATGCGGCTTTGAACGTTCTTCCAGTTTTCAGAATAGAAAAATAAATTCCACATATGCCACTCATTTAATCACAGAGGGGCATGAGTTCAACCATGAATTCAAGCCCCTCCATTTCCAAAAGAAAGGTTTGAAACTTAACCTGTTGGAGAGTAGGAATGCAGTGAAATGACCGAACAAGCTTGTAACCATCTTCTTGGTAAACTAGGACTATGGTTTTCAGCTAATCAACTACATTTCAATACAGAAAAAACTGAGTATCTAATCTTTCACACCAGACAAAGACTAATAAACAATCCACTCTCGATCAAACTGAATGACTTACCCATGAAAGTTTCCTATCAAGCACAACACCTAAGAACTTCCATTGACTGTTAAGTAGAGATCATTATCAGGATTCATATTTTTTGGTAAGAATCGAATATGATAGGTCTTAGCGGTGTTTAGTGCTAGTCCATTTTTACTACAATAGTCACTGATTTCCTTTGATGCCTTATTACCATTCTTTAATAGTTGTTCATTATTTTTTCTGGACATTAAAATATTCGTATCATCTGCATAGCAACACAGCAGCAGCAACACAGGTGTTCTTTATGTCGCTCGTGAATATTATAAAGAAAAGAGGTCCCAGAATGGAGCCTTGAGGTACACCTTTGACTTATTTAATAATATAATAATTACAAAAGGGCATATTTTCATAATTTTTTCTATGAGAAATAATTTGTTTTCCGTATTTTAGGTTTTATATTAAAATGTCTTGAAAGCTACAACTACAATTCCAGCGATGTTATCAATGCGATATTAGAAGAAAATCTCCCACCCCACTTGTATGACATTCCGTTTGATTCCATCAGAATTCCACCAGAACCTGAACCTGAGAAGCCAGTGTTAGCTTACAAAGGCAAAAAGCCTGGTTATGACGATGCCATGGAGTTATTGAATGACAAGAAAGACGTACAAGAGTTCAAATCTCTCCTTCTGGAAGGAGTGTAAGTTTTTTTTTTATAGGCTAGAAGCATCTGCTCAAATTTAAACCTCTATTTTATAGGCAGTACACTAATGACTATACATACGATGATGAATATGATGATAGATATGATGATGACGTACGAATAAAAGTAGCGGATAATCCCCTAGATGAAGTTCTCACTTTGAATCCTAATCGTGAAGACTTAGCTAGTGATACAAGTTATTCATCAGATGAAGAGTATGATGATAGTGGGAAACCTATTTCCACAAATGAAAATGGAAGAGCTATTGGAACCCAAGATCCCAAGTGAGTTTATTGCTTTTTATTAACACATGTGATACACTAATATTTCTGAAGAACAAAATTAATGTACTTTTTCAATACTGCAGACACCTGCATTTTTGTAGATCTCATCAGCTCCTAGTTGTCAGTTGAACTTTAGGGTTTATATGTTGATGATAGTTTCTCATTTAATATCTTTATTTCTAACTCATGCGGGAATATGCCATTGGGATTTATTGCCAGAAGAATTATTGTGGGAATGGAGTTTGTTTCTGTGAAAATACGTCTTGGATTTTGAAAAATGTTGTATTCGTACAACAAAAGAATCAATAAATAATTAAGGGGGAATACAGTTTTATCTCAATAATAGAACATTTTAAATAGATGAATGAATAAATCTCACTGTGTGAATAATGAAAGATTGGAAAAACAATGCGAGATTAAAACTTTGTCACATTTGGCTGAATAAATCACGTTTGACAAACTTTCCATATCTGTCGGCTATATTTTTCAAGTGAAATCTATAGTATGAATTTCACTAGTTCGGACTTCCATTGTCTACTATATAAAATGATTTGAAATCCCTGAAACAAGTAAAAAAAAGAATAATTAAAAAAAGAGAATAGTTGAAAATAACAATTATATTAAGCAACAATAAACCTGAAATGAAATGATAGTAAAATAACCTACAAGTAAAAATATAATAATTGAATAAATAAAAATTAAAGGAATGCAAAAAGAAAATAATAAAAATAAAAAAGTGTAGAGATTCCAAGTCACGTTAGTTCACGACGTTTCGATTGTTGGTATCTACAATCGTCTTCGGGTGATGAC